TTTTATAAAATCGATTTCAATAAAGACATATAAGAATTATTAATTGACACATCAAATTTTTTGTGTATCAAATTGGTTGTGTAGTCAAATAAAAATAATTATCAAGTATATCGTTTTCTTAACTTCTAATTTAACAGTCTTAAAAAAAAAAAAAAAAAAAAAAAAAAAAAGAAGAAGAAGAAGAAGAAGAAGAGTATCATTTTTCTACATGGCGGTGACCTAAATCTATTTTTCTTAATTTTATTATTTATTAGTGTTACACTTATATCTCGTAAATACATTATTAGGTGGAACTTTACTAATCTTTTTTTTTTTTTTTTTTGGAAATGGACATTCTTGAGAGGTCTCTTTTCATTTTTTTCATGTCTTTTTTTTTTATTAATAAAATTTATCATGACAGTGCTCTCAGTGGAGCTTGTGTTAGATTGACAGAGTTTAAATAAACACTCGTGAAGTAGTGACCGACACTAAAATTACTATTTGATAGAGAGCATTGAACAATAATAAAATAAAATAAAAAATTATCATTGTAATAAAAGAATTTTAATATTCATTGATATTTAATTTGAATATATTGATAATTGTCTTCTACTCCACCTATTATATATATATATATATATATATATATATATATAATGGGTGGAGTATATATATATATATATATTAGGGGTCACAATTCGTGTTCGTGAATTAAATTGTGTCGTGTCGATGTAAGGATATTCTACTAAATAGGTAAACTCAAATCCGACCTATTTAATAATCGTGTCAGGAACCCTCAATACTAACCCAACTTGTTTAATAATCTATTTATCAAAACAAAATATTTAATATTTAATCAAATAATATATATTTGAAAAAATTTGTTACAATTAACCTAAATATTCAAATTAAGAAAAAAAATCATAAGGTTATATTAAAATGACTTAACTATCCATAGTAATTTGGCTTAAATAGGTAACATATTACATAAGTCATATTCACGATTATAACACGTTGAGTTAAACAGGTATAAACGAGTTATACATGTTCAACCCCCTCAACCCCTAACCCGAAATAATTAAGTAAACGGGTTAATCGTGTCAATCGGTTTATGACCTGAATCCGTTTAAAGTCAACCCAAACCCACTTATCTCGTGTCGTATTCGAGTTGTATTGGCGGGTCGTATCGTAATTTGCCTCCCCTAATATATATATATTTTAAAAATATAAAAATTTCAAATAGAGAGATTTAATTGATGAGTAATGATACTCACACCGAACACTTGGAGTGATTTGCCGAACTGAATAATTTTTAATTGATTATTTATACAAAATACAATTAAGTGGATGGCTCAACTTTCTTATTTGTTATATAATTGATCAATTAAAAGAGTAGGTCTAGAAATTCACTGTAATTATTCGGTGTAAAAATCATTAAATTATTTTCCTTCACTTCAAATGCTAAGTGGAATCTATCAATTTGAGGGGTAAAATAAATAAATAAATAAATAAATAAAAATTATAGTATCAAACACAACTAAACAAATAAGTGCAAATTTAGAACTAAATGCTGATAAGGAAAAATTGTAAGCACTCTGCTTAAGGTTGCTTTGGCTGCCTCAGTTTAGCGCACATTGAGAGAAAGTAATAACACGAGATTATCTTAGTTTTGAGAATAGAAAAAACTGTTGTAACAAAATTTGACAAAAATCGGCTTATGTTACAATCTAAATTCTTGTGTATTGATTTTTTTAACTGATTCCAATCAAGAATGGGTCTCCAAATTCCTTCTCACAGTCCAAAAAGTTTACATAAGTTTCTTTGTTCGATGCTTACCGGAAAAAAAAATAATAATAATAAAATAAAAAAAAATTCTCTTTCCATGTATTGTTTGAGATGGAATTGCAAGTGAGTAAAAGTTATAAATAACTTGTATAGTAATATAGCTTTTTGAAGTGTTGAGAAATATATATAGCTTTTTATGCACACGCATATCACATCACATTATTAATTGGAATAGGCGGTAAGGTCTTGATAGACTTTATTCATGTGTATAATATATACTCACGCATATAGATAAATCACATGTACATTCTGAATCACAATTAAAAAGTTTAGAGGCAGTAAAGGCATGAACATTAACTTTTATTTACTTTCTGCTGTTAACTTATTGCTAAAAAAATAAAAAATAGTAAAAATAAAAAATAAAAAAACATTAATTCTTAATAGAAACACCATTCATTTCAATCTCATATATATATATATATGTATATCCCAAATTTTTTTTGGAAGGTAATATTTGTCAATTCTTGATAAAAGCCAAGTGGGTATTATCCTTCTTTGATTTCAACCTCGCTTAACATGCACCTTTGTAAACTTATAACAAAAGCCGCGATTATTATATGCTCAGTTAATTTAGTCTTATGGTTCTTCATTATCTTTTTTTAGGAGTATATATATATATATATGATAAGCAAAAAAATAACATAAATTCAAACCTATATATATATGAGAAGCAAAAAAAAATAACACAATTCAAATTCAAACCGAGCATGTCAACCTAGATTAGGCTGATAGGAAAATGATTCTTGAACCAAATAGTTGCGGTGAATTGCTAGACCTACTCTTTTAATTGATTAATTATATAATAAATAAGGAAGTGGAACCCTTCATTTAGTTATATTTGATATAAATAGTCAATTAAAAATTATTCGATTCAATAATTCACTACAAGTATTCGATATGAGTATCACTTACTCTTAATTTATTTAAACTTTTTGGTAAGATGTTTTTAGATACTTCACTGTAAGTGTTCGGTGTGAATATCACTTATTTTTAATTGATTTAAACTTTTGGGTGAAATATTTTTAGATAGAGAGAGAGAGTTAATAAATCATTCACGCATGACATGAGGATAAGAGACAGAAAAGAAATGTCTCCACTCATAAATAAAACAAGTTTCTATCTTGATGCTTTACTTTATTTATATGTCTACAACTCTATCTACATGTCTACAACCCTCTGAATATAAATGGAATGCTGCAGCGAGGTACACGAGGTAATAAACGAAGGAATAATAATTTTTCAGTCAGTTAGCCCATCATTGTTGACATATAGAGGAGACAAGAAAAGAGGGAAGAATGAAGTATACTCTCTCCTCTATATTAACAATCTACACACATTTTATTTTATTTTATTTATTTATTTTTACTAAACAAGAAAACAAGGAGAACAGAGAAGCCCAAAAACAGAGCAAACCAAAAAGAAACAACCACCTCACCTAGGAAGTGGATGAAGGTCGTTGTCAATAAGAGAGAGGAGCCAATTGGGCCAAATATCCCAAGACAAATTCGAGGAGTGAGAACTGAGGGAGTATCGGCTGATGGCATGAGCCACAACATTACAATAGCGAGGAGCCCACATTAGAAAGTAATCCACCAAAGAGCCTAGTAGAAAGCTAATATCATCAATCACATTTAAAAGGGAAGAAGACTAAGGGGAGAGGGACATAACAGACAAATAGTTACCCTCAACATCGACATTATGGAAACCCCAAACACGCAAAAGGGAGAGACAATCCCTGAGGATAATAGTTTCAGCCATTTCAGCAGACCCAATGTCAGGCTTAAAGAAGGAGGTGACTTTCAGAGGGCGGCTTGAGGAATCCCGAAGGATAAAGCCCCCTCCGCACTCCATAAAACCCGTAGAGAAAGAAGCATCACAATTCAACTTTAAGTGCCTCATAGCAGGAGGAAACCATCGAGAAGGAACAGGGGCACGAGGCACCGGTGGAGGGGAAAGCAAAGCCTGAGACACAATCTCGGCAAACTCTTGAAAAGATGAGAGGGCCTTGCTGACCACCTCCAAGACATCACGCTTAAAACTCTTAAAATGAAGGTCATTCTTAGCCTTCCAAATATGCCAGCAGATGGAGCACCCCAAACTACACAAATCATTGAAAAGATGGCTTTGTTTCCAACAGGACACCAGAGAAAACCAAATATGGGACCAAGACCCATTTTCAGACTTTGTGAAAACAGCGCGAAGCAGTGAGGCTTTCCACATCATACGGGAAAAAGGGCAAGTGAAAATCAAGTGAAAATTAAATATAATTTTTTTTAATGTAAATTTATAATAGTCCACTTAATCAACACCATGCCATTTTTTCCCATGTAACTGAATGAGAATTTATGTGACATAAGACCCCTCATCTTAATCTGCAGCCAAAGAACAAGATAAACGTAGAACTAATATCCTTCTTGTATCTTCTACCATCCAGTGTTAAGAAACTTTGTTATAGATCAAATCATACAAATTTTCCTATAAATTTTATGTGTCACTTTCTATAATGAGCTACAAAGGCTGTAAAAGCACATTTTTTGTTTTTAGAGTAAAGGTATTTGACAAATCTGTCAATTAACTTCCCGGATTCCCCAGCAAAACTATCTATAAACTCACCCTTTTAAGCTCACCATTTGTAATTCCTGACCAGTTTAACACAGTTTAACACACCAACAAACCACCTTGACCCTACAATGCTCCTCATATCATCTTTGGAATATTTCCAATTTCTCATAGGCTCTTCAAGGCCAAGAATCTCGTTTTTTGATTTTTCTAGTTTTTAAATTTGTATCTGGTAATTGTTTTGCAATGGAAAAAAACGAGTATTTTTAAATGCTTTGTTCTTTTTCAAGGCGATAGAATTCATCTCTGTTGACGGAGGGATGGCTTTTGAAACGAGTGGGCTGGGATTGAAGGTGTTTGATGTGAGCTTGAGAGTTTCGAAAGTTGGATTTGCTCTGCGGCTTGGGATAATCTTTGCAGTGTTTAAGATTTTCTTTAAATTGGAGCATGTTGGAACCCGGGATAAGCTCATTCCAGGATTGTGATAAGATGTTTAAAGTCATGATTTGTTATGCTTAGGCTTGAGGAATGAATCATTGAGATAAAGAAACAGGGCTTAATTAATGATCAGAGCTTTAATGGTTATGCCGAATTGGCGATTAATACACCATATCACATAGTAGTCCACTGATATATACTTAGTTTTATTAATCCATTCCAACGACATCAAACATGGGGCTACAATAATTCAACGTCACAATAAAACACGACACACTTGAAACTAGGTACTTGGACAAACAAGTCCACAATCAGTTTCAAGCTATAAACATGATACACATTAATACGCCATTAGTTTACGTCGACCTCAACAGTTGAGCTTGTGGAAGACGACTTGAGCGCCGTATTGGGGCTGAAGAGTTAACATAGTGAAAGGACCATGAGCATAGGATGGAGAAAGTTGGAATGAGAAGCGTTGCAGAATCATTGCGAGGGCCATTTTCGCCTGTAACAGAGCAAAGTTTTGTCCAATACAAATCCTTGGTCCCAGGCCAAATGGGAGGTAGAAGAATGGGCTCTTTGTTGCCTTGGAAATCCCTTCTGCAAACCTCCCTGGATTGAACTCTTCCGCATCCTTGCCCCACATCTCCTGGTCACGGTGAAGCAGCATCGATGGCATCATCAGCTGCACTCCGGCTGGTATGGTCAAGTCTCCTAATTTTGCCTCTTCATATGTCACTTTAGTCACCTCGATTACTGGAGGGTACAACCTCAGAACCTCGTTCAGAATCATTGTTACCTGTCAATTAATACATGAGTAATGATACTCAGACTAATTTGTCAAATCTATTTGTCTATCATTTGATGTCGTGAATATGCTCAAGAGTTGGTCTCACTCACTACATCAAAAGAATAGAAACCATTTGCTAGACAAATATTGATAATTAAGTAGTCCGAGAGTTGAATGTATCTATTTTATGTGAGTGAATGATAACATCATCATAAAGTCATTAAATATGATATGAAATCATCCCGGTACTCATATAATTTTAGTCAGATATTTTAGTTAGATGTGTTCAACTTTCACTCTTTGACACACTATTGTATGGAATCTTGAAACCTTCAACTTTGAAGAGTCAGAAAAATCACCAGGTCTTAGAATTTGAAGTTAACAAGTGGAAAGCACTCACAATTTTTAGGTTTTGAACCCTATTAAAGTCCAGTTTTTCCTTCCCGAAGAGCTGCAAAACTTCTTCTCTGGCTTGCTCTTGCCAGTCTTGGTGCCTACATAGTAGAACAAATGTCCATGCGAGCAGACTGCCGGTGGTATCTTGCCCGGCAAAGTAGAAGAGCTTGCACTCTGAGATGATCTCGTCAAGACACAATCCAGCATTCTTTTTGTTTCCTTGTCTTTCTATCTCTTTGAAATTGGATTCCAATAATGTGCCCAGTAAATCGTCACCACAAGGTTTTCCTTCCTTAACCTCCATCAATCTGCTATTGATTATTGTCCTAAACCTGACTCTTATTTCTTTGTCAATAGCCCTCATCTTCTGATTCCTTTTGGTAGGCAAAACATCACTACACAAAGAAACCGTAGTTTCCAAACATCAACACACCAAAAAAATAAATAAATACAAACAGTAGTTTCCAAACATTGACACACCCAATGAATAAATAAATAATATTAATAAATAAATAAATCTGCAGATAGAGAAAAAGAAAAGACTACACAATAACCCCGGGACAGGGCCTACACAATGAAAATGTCGGTCATTTCAAGATGATCTCTACTTACTCTAATTTCTTATTTGGTAGATAAGGTTTGGATCTCATGTCAACATCGATTGATTTTAAGTTGGGATCTTATGTCAAAATCGATTGATTTTTTTCCTATTAATTAAATAATTTATTTTACAATTGTTCAACACGATTCAAAATGATGATTGAAAAAGAATAGAAGAAGAATCTGACTCGATCCGTAGTTGCACCAGTACTTGATTTAATTACCTCCAAATCGGAATGTAAAGAGTGCGCATAACCTCTACTGTAAGCTTAATTAGATCTTTCAGAAGTTCAAATATCCGTTCTCCTCCAGAAATAGGACCAAATGCTACCCGTGAAATCACTTGGCTGGTTAATCTATCAAAAGTTGGATATACATCAATCTCAATTGATCCATTTTTGCAGCACTCTTCCCATTTGGTCAAATGCTCATCGTAACATGCATAAAATGCAGGCAGCATATTCTACACAAAAAAAATAATAATAAAAAACTTTTAATCGAGAAAGTATACAGTATCTTATGGGCATTTTATTCATAATATTTCTGTCCAATGTACAGTCATATTTTTTTTTTATTATTATTTTTTTATTTCCAAAAGTATCAATTTTATATGTATTAAAATAAATTGAGAGTTTTTATGACTATGCATTGGGTGGATAATGACTGGTACAAATGTGAGCTAATCATTTTATTAATAAAGATTATAGGAAGAATGGAAATGATGGACCTTCAACTTTTCTTGATGGAAAGAGGGAGCAATAAGCTTTCTGTGTTTGGCCCATTCATGACCCTCCAAGCTTCCAGTTCCAGTAAGTAGGAACTTGCTCAGTTTATTGTTTACATGATGATTCTTCTGAAAGCTGTGGTAGTTTGCCATGATTTCCTTCACAAGATTAGGTTCCATGATGTGGACCCTTGGCATCCGCCCAAGCCATGTGAAGGATTTCTTACCTGTTGAAAGTCATAGCCATTAATTCAATAAATTAATTAATTATATCGAATTAATTACCATATATATATATATATATAACAACATGCAGCTACCACATAATGAATGTCAACTCAAATTAAATGCCATATATTAAACAAAAAAAACATGTCCATGGCTTAGCTAGCTAGCACAAAATGAATTTCTCTAATTAAATGTGTGGTTTAATTAGTATATGTACCTGCTAAGCATGATAATTAATGTGAATTTAATATGTGTATATATATATATATACCATAGGTGTCTATAGTTTTGACGACATGGGGCATGAGCCGGCGGACGATATCGTCGGAGATGTTGACGGGCTTGGACATGGTTTCTTTGAGCAGCATGGAGCTCTCTCTCAGGTCCCCAACCATTAACTTGTAAGGGTTTCCTCTGAAACCTTGCTGTCTGAGGCGATTTTCGATCCTTTTCGGCGTCAACCACGCCCAGTTCAGGACTCTCCATGCCCACAGAAGAAATACAACGGCACAAGAGGCCACTATGGACTTGTACATTAACACCTCCATTGTCAATGCTAGCCAAGAGCTTCCAGTGACACAGAGAGACACAGAAAGAAAACAGAGACCTGTATGGTGTTGGAGTTATCAGGTGCAATCATCTATAGGCACTACTTGGAATAAAAAATATAGCAGTGGACTGTGCTAATGCGGTGTTGGAGAGTGACTGTGCAATCATTATAGGCAATATTGCAATAAAAAAATTGTGTGGTGTTGGAGTGCGATAGGCATAGTTGGAATAAAAAAATATAAAAGAAACCAAAATATAGCCGATATGACTCATATTGCAGCCCGATTTGATATAGTGGTACTAGTGGACCCATAGACACATACTCCCATTTTATGCAGCACATCGAAGGAATAAAAAGAATTTCCGCTACTTGTCTCCCAATGAAAAAGTGGTCAAGGTTTGGTCTAATTAACTGCTAAAGTTATTTATCAGTATTGATCAATTTTTTTATAAAATCGATTTCAATAAAAACACATAAGAATTATTAATTGACACATCAGATTTTTTGTGTATCAAATTCGTTGTGTATTCGAGTAAAAATACTATCTCTTTTCATAACAGTTGGCAATTTAAAAAACTTTAACTTATTATTACCTTTTATTTTTAGTCATATTCTTAAAATATATTTATATTTCATACTAGAGATTTATTTCGATAACTTTGACTTACAAAAATTGTGAGTCAAATTTTTTAAAATTGACAGTTAATATGGGACTAATGGAGTAATTATCAAGTATATCATTTTCTTAACTTCTAATCTAACACCCTTGAAATAAAAAATTAAAAAAAAGAAAGAAGAAGAAGAGTATCATTTTTCTATATGACGGTAACCTAAATCTATTTATCTTAATTTTATTATTTATTAGTGCTACACTTATATCTGGTAAATACATTATTAGGTGGAACCTTGCTAACTATTTTTTATTTTTTATTATTTTTTAAATTTTTTGTATGGAAATGGACATTCTTGAGAAAGTCTCTTTTCATTTCTTTCATGTCTTATTATTATTTTTTTTAATAAAATTTATCATCACAGTGCTCTCAATGGAGCTTCTGTTAGATTGAGAGAGTTTAAATAAACACTCATTGAGTTAGTGACCGAGACTAAAAATTACTAATGTATTTGATAGAGAGCATTGAACAATTATAAAATAAAATAAAATAAAAAATTATTATAGTAATAAAAGAATTTTAATATTAATTGATATTTAATTTGAATACATTTATAATTGTCCTCTACTCCACCGATTATATATATATATATATATATATATATATATATATATCTTTAAAATATAAAAATTTCAAATAAAAGCGCATACGTTTACAATCTGGCCCTAACAGAACTTAATAGAGACATTTAATTGATATAAACTTTTCGGTGAGAAATTTTTATTAGATATATATAGAGAGACTTAATAAATCATTCACGCATGCCACGAGAACAAGACAGAAAAGAAATGTCTCCACTCACAAATAAAATAAAAAATAAAAAAAGTTTCTATCAAGATACTTTATTTTATATATATGTCTACAACTCTTATATATTTGTTTACAACCCTGAATATAAATGGAATGCTGCAGCGAGGTACACGAGGTAATAAACAAGGGAATAATAAATTTTCAGTCGGTTAGCCCTATCATTGTTGACACATAAGAGGAGACAAGAAAAGAGGGAAGAATAAAAGTTTACACTCTCCTCAATATTAACAAGGGTAAAGGGCAATTGAGCCCCTGAACTTTTAGCAAAATACACAAAACTCTCTGAACGAAGTAATACTCCTTGAACTATTTAAAAATTATAATTTAAGGATAAAAATAAAATTTGTTGGCAACTGACCTTACCAGAGATGTGAGATTATGAAATTGCCCTTTCGTAAAAAGGGTCGTCTGACAAGTGTTATTGCTGACTTGTCAAGTCCAATCTCAACAACCAATAATATTGTGACAACACAACATCTATCACCGACTTCACCTTTCGCATCATCATTTTTGCCCCTAAACAAAACTTTATAGCAAACACCAACTAGACCAGTCACTTGGTACGAAATTGATCATAAGTAAAAGAAAACTGAAACACAGATCAAGCCTCAACCATTACCAGAGATCGAGCCTCGACAACATACCAGAGAGTGTTGTAGTCAACACTTTCCTTCACCTCAACAACACAAATTCAATAAAAAGCTTTGATTTGGTTTGTGAAATAGAGAAATCTGACCTTTCATTTTCTCACTGTAGAAATTTGCCCTAAAGGACATATGTTAGGGCTTGTGAACGATTGAAGATGGGTTTGTTCTGTGATTGTTGAAGAGTTGCAGAGCATAGAGAGACGACGATTTTGCAGAACGTACATAGAAAGAGTGGGAGTTAGGGTTAATGGGGGCCAATTTAGGCGGTTTTATTGTGTCTGCCGTATTTGCATCAATGGTCTACACAAATTGACCAAATTCTCACCTTAATGATACATAGACATGATCTATGTAGATGCGTGCTTTGTATTTTAATAATGACGGCCATGATGTATGCCATGGTGAGAAACGTGGTGGTGTCGGTAGAGAGCTCCGTCGTGAAGGTGGTGTCACCCTCGGCGAGTTTAAAGCTCTTGCCAATTTTGCTCCTGGCGATGAACTTAAGCCAAGTTAGCAGCGACGTTATGGGTTTTGGTGGTGGTGCCATGGTAGTTCCGTTCTCGATCTCCATGAAAGGTGGAGAAGTTATATATGTATGTATATATATATATATGTATGTAACTGAAGAGTATATATATATAGATTCCATAATGGTATGATTGACATTTTAAATTTACAGTACACGTCAAATGATTATTTTTCAGCCAAAACCTAACGAAATAGTGTAGTCTGAGGGTTCTTTTTTTTTTTTTTTTTTTTTTTTTTGTTGCAAAAATTGAGTTAGTTTAAGGGGGTCTGTAAATAAATAAATAATAATAAAAAAAAGGTCCAGGAGGGTTTCTTGGGAGAGAGAGTAAAGTTCGGGGGTAGGGGGGGTGGTTATTGCACTTTACCCTATTAACAACCTACACACTTAAAATTGTAAATGTATGAATTGCAATTCCACCCTTCCCATCTAAATATCCAATGTTACCTTCGATCTAATTGTACGATGTTTATATAATTTGATTTTTGAACTTTACTTGGAAATATATATATATATATATATATATATATATATATATATAATCTCTATTACCTTTTTTTTTCTAAATATTTCAACTACTTTTTCAATTCAAGTTCGTGCGTATTTTTTTTAGTGGTAAGTCAATCTAATACGGCCTATCCTTAGGAGATAAGAGATATACACACACATTTATTGATGAGGATATATTATTGTTGGAAAATATATGACATTTAAAATATAACTAAAATTATACTAATATGTCATGAGATAATTCATAATATTTTTTTAAAAATTAATTAAATATGCAACTCAATACTTAATTAAACATGCAAGTTATAGCAATAAAATAATACTAATAAATAAAGAACCTGAACCGAGTCTAGTATTGGATACTATATCCTTAAGACAATTTACGCCCCACATGGTGCTGACGGAATCTGTGGCGATTGTCTTCTAGGATATAATAGTCTGTTGGTCCTAAATTGCCTTAAAGAATGTTTGCCTTTAATGTCAAAAAGTATTGCTTTAGCCTCGGCCTCGGCCCTTCTGCCTCTGCCTCGGACAGTGAAGGTTCAGCAGCTATAGGTGCTCAGCCTCGGACATTGGAGGTCCAACACTTTAGCCTCGGACATAAATGCTTCAGCATCAAACATAGATGGTTTAGGGACATTGATGGTTTAGCACTTCGGTGTTAACTACAGGTGCTCACAGGGGCTTTATGATCTTTTCTCAGGTGTATTCCACATATATATATACGTTTGCTCAGTATGGCCTTTTCCAGCTATGCTAAAAAATGTGACACGTTTCAGTATTCCTAAAAAAGAATGAGACACGTTTCAGTGGTGCTAGAGAAGAATGTGGCACATCTCAGTGGTCCTAAAAAGCTGGTTTATGCAAGAATATTCCATTCTTGGAGGCTAAGTCTGGACAAAAATGGAATTCAGTACTCAAACTTGTAACCTGCTGTAGCTGGAAGAATAGTGACGAAATTAGTTGAAGTGGCACACTTGCATTGGTCCATTACTCTAAAAATATTTGAATTGTGCTTTCTCAATCATTGGCTTGAGGTGACAGGTGTACATCCATGATGTGTGAGGCCTTGTGTAATTCAGTGTCTCTATAAATATGCTGCTACAAGGCTCCTTAGGGTTTAAGCCTCTAAAACTTATATTGCACATTGAGCTGCTCATAAGAACCCTCAAGTATACTATGTAAAGTAAGTTTTTCTCTGCTATTTGATGATGATCCATGCAAGAAAAACTCATTGAATCAACTATGAGGTGTGCTCTGTTTGCTAAGATAAGGCTACTGTCAAATATGCTGATGCAAGGGCTGTTTTGAAGAGTAACTTGGTGTTTCAAGCTTCTTTGGTCGATTCTGAGAGTTGACATAGGTATAATTCATCTTCTTACACTTGTTCGAACTGCATTTGTGTTGAGAATATGTTGAAAATGAATTCGGACAGTGTAATCACTAGTTAAGCTTGATTTTCTGAAGATATCTTGGATTCAAGTGTTATTTGATTATACTTAGCTATATCTTGTTGATCTATGCTGCTAGCTAGTATATTTTGATGAATCGAGATTATTGAAGTTGAGTTTGTTGTGATACTATGGTATGTTTTGGTTTTGAGTATTCTGTGTTGAAGATTTTCTATGCCGAAGCTATTTTGTACTGAAGCTATTTTATGTCGAGGACCATTATATACTGAATTAAGGACTTGGACTGAACTTGTGATATACTCATGCTGTGTTTGGTTATGTAAAGCTATAAACATGAGTACAACAGTGAAAGAAGACTGTATGAGGCTGTAATGACTCGGTCATTTTCTTCCTTTCCTTTTTCCTCAAATTTTACGGATAATTTTTTTCCATTATCTTTTCTCTTCTGTGTTTGGTTTCCCATCACCTAGTGTCATATCAAGTGCTCAAAAATGGTTTCTGAGACTCTTTTATTGGGATTGACAACTTCCTTTAAGGACCGAATCATTTCTATATTTTTCA